ACCATTTTACTTTTGTGGAAAGAAGAGTCTCCGATAAATTAAATGACTTTCCCTCATCATACAGCAATTAAATAACACTGATTTAGAACAATTTACAGCCTGAGAAAATCAAATGGAAACTCTAGAACTAAACGACACAGCATATAAAACAACAAAGTCACTAAATGGCATGAATAGTAGAATGAAGACAACAAGAAACACAATCAATAAACTTAAAAAAGATAAATCAAAAGAAATTATCCAGTTGGAAGAACTAAGAGAAGATTGAAAAATATTAAAAGATCCTCAGAGACTTGGGGAAAAATGTTTTAAGATCTAACACACATGTAATTGAGGTAAAGGGAAAGCAGAAAAAGTATATTTCAAATAAATGATAGCTTGAAATTTTCTGAAATTTGGTGAATGACATAAATTTACAGATTCAAGAAACTCAGAGGATGCAGACAAAATAAATACAAAGATGATCACATCTGGGAATATTACAGCAAAATTTCAGAAAATCAAAAAATGAAGAGAAAGTTTTGAAAGCAGGGAAAATGACATGTAATACAAATGAATCATCAGAAAAGAATTCAAGCCATAGATAGTGAGACAGCATTTGTTAAGCATTGTTGAACAAGGTCTTTAATTCTTATTTCTGAGAATAGTAAGGTGGTAGGTTGAGGCCTGAATGTGATCCTAGTCATCCTCCCATTGGGTACAGAAAGCCTGCCTGCAAATTGAACACATAGAGAGAAAAGCAAAAGAAGTAGACAGTAACCACATTCTAGATGGTATTGTTTGACTGATAAAGATCAAACTTGATTATCATTCATTGAATATTGTTTTTAGTATAGATCATTTTGAATTAGGTTTTTGTTATTTATGACTGAGTGAGATATTATCTAAGAATCATAATAGGAAGTAAGGAGATAGATCTTTCAAATGGGAATGGCATCTAGAGATCGAGGGAGGGTTATGTGCATGTACATGTGTCACGTATGTATTCCAACTCCACACAAGGAACGTAGTCATTATGTACTGCAAACATGTACTGATAAAAAATAAAGCTGAAAAAAATCATCCTTTGAGATATAGTCTAAACATTATCTCTTTTTCGAAGTTTTTCCTCAACCTTTCCACCCCATTAATTTCTCAGACAACCTTAGTTTCTTCCCTTCCTCTGTACTATTTTAATATCTCTTCATTGTACTAGTCACATATTTGATTTGATTTCTTAATAAACTGTGATATCCTTGAGGGGAAGAGATCCTTTCTCTAACACATACTGAATCATAAGCATATACACACTGTAGTTTGGATCGAGAATGTCCCTTAAAAGCCCCAGTAGTAAAGGGTAGGCCTTTAATGCTTTGGGGAGGTAGAGGGACCTTAAGAGATGGAGACCAGGCACGGATTCTGGTCAGGGGAGGCCCTCCTTTAAGAGGATATTGGGAGCACAGTCTTTTCCTCTTCCTCTGTTTGCTTTCTGACTGGCATGAAGTGATTGGGCTTCCTCCACCCCAGGTTCTGCCATGATATAATGTTTCATCACAGGTCCTAGGCAACAAAGCCAACTGATTATAGGTGAGAATGTCCAAAACTAAGCCCCCAAATCCTGCAATTTTTATGAGTTGATTTATCTTTATTGCAGCAATTTGTGACAATGATGAAAAGTTGACTAAGTCAATAAATAAGCTTTTCAATCAGAATTATTAAAATGGAGTCCAAAAGTGTTTATTAGTTCAATCAGTTAGGATGCCTTTGGTTGAAAGTAATAAAAGTTT